CACACACACAGTTAGAGGTGGACAAGGCCCCCTGCTTGGACAACTGTCCTGGAGAGAAGCTACTGGAGGCAAAAAACACTGCTTTTGCATTTGGCAAGGAGCGGTGATGGTGAGGTCTCAGCCGCCCGATTTAAGATTATCTGCACCCCACACACACACCCCTGGGTCCCTCGCGACGCACTGGCAGTGGCTCGGTGGTGGGGAGTCGGGCAGGGTGTGGTCAGGTGAACCCGACCCCACCTCCCAGGGAAAGCGGTGCTCTCGCCCCTCCTCCACCCGTCCCACCCCTCCCTGAGGGGCTCAGCGGGGGACTGGTCAATCACCGGCCTGGGCCGCATTCCCAGCCTGGGGGCTCAGTGCCCGTGACCTTCGGCCACCAAACTTGAAGAACCCCATTTGGGGGCCCTTGGAATCCCCAGCTTCTGGCCCAAAGGGGAAAACACGTTCCCCTGACGCAGGAGAACCTTCGGCTTCCTCGCCACGTCAAAAGCTTCGGACAACACGGCTAGCAGGACCCTATGATCAGGGTAGGTTTTCTTCAATCACACACACACACACACACACACACACACACGTGCACACACGCACGCGTGCACACACACACACACACACACACCATAAAAAACAGAGCTGTATAAAGGGTAATAAAAACCAGACCAGCTACTCAGGATTTCTGGCTAGGGAAGGAAAGCTGGTCTCTACTATGATTCTCCTCCTCCCAGGACTCCAAAAGGCTTTTGCCTAAAACTTTTAGCTGACTCCTTTCAAACTTGCTCTCCTGACCCTCCTGACTCTTCCCCCAGAAGGGGAAAAGGATAGATATTCTAACAAACGCGACAAAGGCCCAGGAGTCTGATACTGGAGTAGCATCACCAACATAGGCTCTAAGAGCTTCTCATTGACAAAACTAATCTAGCATTTTTAAACTCCGAACTGGATTCCTGGCTGGTTGGGGTGGGGGTGTTGTTTCTGACTCCTTGGAGAAGCCAGCGTCCCTTTCCCAAATGTTCTATGGAAGCTCAAGTCACAAAAGAAAACTCAAGCCTCCCAACCCCATTCTAACTTTCTCACCCTGATCCAAAGCAGCTTAAAGGGCCAGGGAAAATGGCAGAATTAAAAAGAAAAAGCCCTGGGGTTACCTTATCGTTCTGGTATGCGGTCACAGCGATGAATTCGGTTTCAGGGAATAAATACGTCCGAAATGTACTGTAAGGGAGTTTCAAGATGTCGTTGGCTCTTACAATGTGGAAACGGGGTTGGTACTTGTGCATGGAGTTCAGTATGGTCTGCAGAGGCAGGGGAGAGGAGACACGCGTGGAAAAGGATTGAACAGGTCAACCGGGGTCTGAGGACCCCTGCCGCGCTAACAGCTTCCCCACTGCGGGGTCCCGTGCTGGACCGAGCCCACCTCCTAGGGGTCACTCCTTGGGAACAATCTGCTCAGTAGATCTTATCTCCTGGGGAATCCAGATCCCTCCTCAATTTCCCAAGGGCACCCCCCCCACCGTCTAAGAGGTTCATTCGGATCTCAGACCCTAGCCTACCTGAGTCCCAAAACTATAATTCCCCTGCCACGCTGCGTGATCACTTGGCCAATTCTTAAAAGATAGAGAAAAACATGCATTTTAATTTACAAAATGATTCAGTACTTTAAGCGCCCACTAATTGACGAGCCCAATCCACTTACAGCCCTGAAAGGCTGAACTCTAGAGAGGAATATGTATGCTCTAATCAAATCAAGGACTTCAAATGCAATTCCTGCCCGCCCAAGATATTTCCGTGCCATTCACGTCTTCCTGGGCCTAATCTTTCGGCTTATTCCTTGCTTATCACTTTGTTTACTTTATTGAAGCATTGGGGAGGGGTGAGGGATGGGGCAAAAGGTCCTTTGCCTGACTTTTACTAAGCAACTGAAGTCTTCCGAGAGCTCTGGGCGGTTCTCACACTGAATCCATGGGTACAGTCCCAACACACACAACACTTTTCTCACCGAAAGATCTATGCCTCACTTCTAAGGAGGCTCTACCAAGCCGCAATTCTCTTTTCGTAAAAGAAAAGAAAATTTCAAAAAGGCATTTCTACCCTTCCATCAACACGGCAAGGCTCTGAAAACTTCAGCTCCTCCAAGAAATAAATAACATGGCAGACTTCAAAGAGAAGTAGTTTAAAACAAAACAAAGCCTTTACAAACACGTAGCTTTAAAATCAATTTTACCTCTCAGCTATTGTTTTCTGTTTGTTTGTTTGTTAAACAACAGCAGTCAGGTCCAGCCTCTACCAAGGACCTAGAATTGCTCTAGAACAAGACCTGGTAAATTTTCCTGGCCCCATTTCTTTTAGAAGACCAGGCCTCCCGTTACGCAGAGAGAAAACACCCGGGAATCCCTCTCTCCGGCTCCGTGGCAAACCGAACCAGTTTGCTGTGTTTAGCAGCAGCAAGCAAGGGAGGACTCCGTGCTACAACCTGGGAGTTCCCAAGGAAGGGGGGCTCGTGGCTGGGGGAGAGTGGACAAAGAAACGGTGGCTGAGGACGCGGTGAAACTTACAAAGCCGTGCTTGTCGGAAATGTTGTTGGTGAGTTTCAGTTTGTGGAAGGTGACGACTTTGGACATCCACTGCTCCCCGGTAGCTGGGCTGTCCGGGTGAATATACATTCTCTTTGGCATTTCAGGGTCAGCCTTACCCGCCACCATCCACCGGGAATTGTGAAATTTATATCGGCAGTCATCAGCAGCTATAATGTCCATCAGTAAAATATATTTGGCCTTTTTATCCAGCCCAGAGCATCTTACTTTAAATGGAGGGAACATTCGCCTACAACAGGAAGGAGAGAAAAGGAATAGAGAAAAAAAGAAACCCCTCAGAATCTCGAGTTGGACTCCTCACCTATTGTAAAATACTTAAACAAAGTTTAGTACTTTATTTTCGGACTGACGAGGTTGTATTTTGTCAAGACCAGGGCAACTAGGTGCAAAACGACTTCCTCTCACAAAGCATTCAAAACAACCGATTCCTCTCTATTGAAGTACCCCAAGATTCAAAACAAGTAATTATGACACGGCGTTTCTCTAGATTGTCTAATGTCTTGTTTTAACTGTTCTGCTCTGTGTGACGGTACAGTCTGCCCTCTCAGAGAGATGCATTCGTATCTGTGTAGTCCTGAACAGTTTTGGGTGAGACTAGCAAATTGCAGAGCAGTCAGGACGAGGATTTTCTACCACCCACTGATGAGAAAATGTTAAACTTATCAGGGAAATAAACAGTCCAAATCACACCCCTTCCCGCTCCCAAGCAGTAATCCCGCTGTTTTGGAAATGGAGTTGGACTTGCAGAGCCCTCAGGACGAGAGGGATGGGGCGGACCCTGGGCCGGACAGCCCCAGAGCTTCCTGACTCACGGCCCACATCCCCGTTCCCCAGGCCGATCCCAGCCGCACGGCTGTGCCACCGGACCGCTGCTGACTTCCACACGAGCACTGGCATTCTGTGCTTTTGACTTAAAAGGAAGCACTTCACTGTGAAAACTGACTAAACACCTTGTGGGCTGGAGGAGGAGTTCATGCCAAACTTTGGCCTCTTTTAGCTTGGAAGGAGAGCAGAAGGCTGAAGACATCAAGAGAGGAACTTTATTTTTAACCTTTCAACTTGATGCCTTGTTAGACCTCAATGCTACTAAAAAAAAAATTAAAAAATCAGTGATTCTAGGTGACTGTCCTGGGTTCCTGTCTTCCAGGCAGGTTTGGGTCTAGCAGGGATCTCTGGTGTGTAAAATATGATTTATAATATCCATACACAAAGCGGTGTGTGTGCACAGGCTAACTGGTTCCTTAGGTCTGCAAAGAGAATCTTAATTATCCAAAATTGCCTGCTGAACTCCCCCTCGGGTTACACACACACACACACACACACGTCAAGTTGTGTGGTCAAACAAACCCTGTATCTACGTCGCCCTTCCCTTTCTCTGTGACCCTTGTAGAGCGGACTCAGGTCCCCTCCAGCCCCGGAGGCCAGGCTAAAGGGCAGAAGGGCGGGGAACACTATCAGGCCTCCCTCCACCACACAAAAGAAAGGGGATCTCGGCCTTTCTCCTTCAGAGGAAAATAAAAAACCGAGTAAAAAACATCCACACAGAAATAATACGTGTGTTCCAGGGAGGTTTGCAGAGCGAACTTCCTGCCATGGGGGTGGGGTGGGGGGTTCCCGCTTCCTGAAAGGCTGTCTGGAGTCCTCTGAAAAACCCTATCTGCTCCGTGGGGAACCTGGGATGCAGAACTAGGTAAGAGCCGAGCAGGCGCACAGGTAAGCTGAAATCCCCTGTCGCTGAGGCAGGGCCCCAGAGTCTGTACACATTTTCAGGGGAACTAAGTTTTCGTCCGAGCTTTTAACAACTGGCAAGGCAGCAGCTCGGGGAAGGTGGTGGTGCAGGGGGGTCCTCAGCGAGCTGGGGGAGGGGGCTCCAGCGGGCTTACCTGCCGGACTTGGTAATGACCATCTCCGTGCCCCGCTTGTGGAACTGGTCCCAAAGTTCCTTGGCCTCCAGGTGCACCTTGGGGTCATCCTCCACCTCTTCTTCGGGCTCCATGGCCTTCAGAGGCCTCAAGGGGGCCTGGGGCCCGAGGGGCGAGAAAGGAATGCCGGTCTCGGCAGCCCCCACCAATTGGTCCATGATCGGCTTGGCCAGGGCGCCGGGCAGCGACAGCGCCGTGGCGCCGTTGGGAGGCAGCGTCAGCGCGGGGAAGAAGGGCGGCTGGTGGCCCAGCACCGCGCTCATGGCGAAGTCCGGCGCCCGGTGGGGTAGGAACGGATGGTAGGCCATGCTCGTCCCAGGAATGACCGGATCTCTCATGGAGAGGCTCATGCACTCCAGGCAGGCACAAGTCCGCAGCTGTTGTCTCGTTTTTGCTTTTGTTTCTGTTTTTGTTATCGTAGTTCAGCAGCAGCACATAGTTTGTTTTTAAGCGGAAAAAAAACCCAAAACAAAACAAAAAGAGGAAGAAATAACTAAAGCGCTTTAGAGGAAGGGAGGATAGTGTCTTTCGGGGAGGAGGACTGTCGCTTCTAAAGAGGACTGGGCGACAGATCGGGAGACATAGTGGCGGGGCGGCTGTCGCGGTGCTGGCGTGGTTAGAGCCGCCCGTGGAAGTCGCTTTCGGGAGCTCGCGCCGGAGCCCTGCCGCTGAGCTCGCTGCGGACACCGCAGCCCTGGGTCCCCGGGTCGCTCCCCAGCCCCCAAGGTCTTGGTTGCACACGCGAACGGCTCTCCAGGAAGACTTTTTACCTTTTCTTCTTTTTCTTCTTCTTCTTCCCCCGCCCCCTTATCTCTTCCTCTCCCTTTCTCGCTGGAGGCGTCTGCAAATGCGCTGGACTCGGCTTTGGCCAGGGAGCAAGAGAGCAGAAAATCTCTCTCCTTTAGAAAAAAAAACAAAACAAAAACAAAAAACAAAACAAAACAAAAAAAACAAGCGGATTTAATAAGCCCCTTCCAACCAGCGCTATCAAAACTTGAACTGCACGCAGACTGGCTTCCGTCCGCCCTCCTCCTCCTTCCTGAGCTCCGAGCTGCGGAGAGGGCGTCTCGGTTTCAGTCCCGATCTCGCCGCGCGCCCCTGCCGGGTCTCCTCGCTTTCTGCCTGGTCGGAAACCGTGAGCGAATTCGCTTCGGAAATCCGAGTCCGGGCGCGCAGGGCAGGGAGGATCGAGAGGGGAGAGACGCAAAGGAGAAAAGAGAAGAAGAGGGAGAGAGAGAGGGAGCGGGAGCCGGCGCGGAGAGGGCGGGCGCGAGCTCCTCGCCACCCTCCTCCGCCTCTAGAATTCCCCCGGCGTCTGCTCGGCGGCTCTAGAAGGTCGGGCTGCGCCGTGGGCTGCGGGGAGCCGGAGGCCTCTTGATTGGCTCTTTGACGCTTTCGGACCAATTGTGTGGCTGCATAGGCGTGGTTATCACAGGTCGAGTGCAGGGGGATAGAGCCGAGTTATAAAAAGAAGGTGTCGGAAACTGTAACGTCGCAGCGCCGCAGCGGTACTACTGCCCGTCCTGTGAATATGTCAACATGATCCGAGGGCGGGCGGGCGGGCGCCGCCGGGGAGCGCGCGCAGAGTCGCCTCTAGGTGGCTTATCGAGAGATCGCCGGGGCCCAGAGCTCGCTCGCTCTCGCTCTCGCTCTCGCTCGGCTCGGCCCACGTCTGAAATGCCTCAGTCACCCAGCTCGGATCGAGGGAGG